GGACAATAAAAGGTACAGCATTCCATTTCAATTGATCAAAGAGCTTTTTCAGTATCATGTATAATGTATATACATTGTAGATATGGTATATACTATTTAACTAATTTTTGTAACTTCATAATTTATGTCTATGTAAAAAAATCAACACGACTCTCAATGTTTCTTCTAATATTTCTATCCAGAATAAGTGGAAAAAGCTTTAGAGGCAATGTTAATAAATATTTCATTGTGTTTTTTGGTAACTATATATACTAAGCAGCTTTGTATTATATTTTTTAATCTGTAAATAAAAGGGTTAAAGTGTACAAAAACCATGTACAAGTCTGTCTCAATTTGGTTTTCGAGGTTCAACCTGTTAAAATTAATTAAATTTTGCAGGTTTTTTCCCTGCATAACACGTTCAGAAATGAAAAAACTCAAGTGTTTTGTACTTCAAGATAATTTATTACTGTAAATGCAATTAGAACATGTAAATGTTAGGACATTCTAGTATCTCATCATCATAAATACTTTTTTAAATTCAAATGCGACCTCAGTGAAATTAAATTTCTAATCCATCGACTGAGAATAAATCACAAGAATCATTTCAAAATCCCTATAACTGATATTTATTTGTTAATTACTTGTTAGAATAAGATTTACTGTTACTTTCACTGTTCATGTATGTTTAAATTTACACCGCTTTTGAGTGTTACATTATAATATATTTATACAAAATTGTTCAGAGTACAAAAAGCAGTTTCAATCAGTTGAATAATATTTGCACAAAAATGTACGATGTAACCGAGAGTAAACTTTATTTATTATTGATGCTGATCAAATTCAATAAAACCTCATCGATAGTAATGATTTGAGAAATTTTTTTTCACACCCCTGTAAACTATGAACTTTTAGATATCGTTCCGATCACAAGTAGGTTGAATTTTTTAACTTTTTAAACACTAATATTCAGTATTTCGTTGAAACATTATATTATATACTCCATTTTAGATCTGTAGCCACTTTTATTTGAAGCAATTTCATTTTACAGCATATTATCTCTGCTAACATTTTAAATATTGTGTAAAATAAATACATTCAAGTAGTATCTCAAACAGTAAACTTATGAAATAGAGACCGAAGTAGCCTTTTAAAAAGTAAGAAATAAAACTGTGTTAATAGAGTGACATTATTAGTTTAGACTCAAGTCGTCTATCTTATTTCAACAACTTTAACGTCTCCATTTCTTTCAATATCTCTTTATCTTTTCAAATCTGACTCTTTGAAGAAAGTAAGGGAGCAAAAATTATGATATATATAGTTTTTTAACTATAAATCAATTTCGTTGGTTATAATTCAAGATAATGGAGATGTCAAAGTAATTAAAACACTTTGTAGAATTGTACAATGAGAACCGGATCTCTGATGAATAAATATAGATAAAATTTCAATATAAAATACTGCATTAAAAATCATTGTTTCTCTGCATTGTTCGAAATTAGTTCAAATAATCGAGGTTCTATTTATTAGCTTGAGATCTTTTACTTTGTTCTAAAATTATAATCTTGCACGCTCGATATTCCAGTTACTTTTATAGAACATAATTCAGTAATATCTTTCGTAAAAGAGAAGGTAAGCTTGACTTCGCCGTACGGTGTCTTCGTCGACTTCCGTTACTCTATAAGAGAAATTTTTATAAGTTTTCGTCCTAGCACAGAATATATCTTATTTTATCCGATGAAATAAATAACTTAAAATATTGTTGCAGATGCACTATCAGTATCAAATTTCAAAGCATCCATAATATTAAATAAGACAAAATTGTTAGCCGTTCAACAAGATTTGTCAGCATTGAAGCAACTACTAGTATGTTATAAAAATTGGTCATTTATATATGTGTAAGTGCATTTTGATCACTGTGTTCGCGTATTTATTACCTTAAATTATTGAAAGCAATGAATTCAACGTAAAAATATTTTAAAAGTACGTACTTAGAATCGGAAACGTAATNTCATTTTTTTTGTCGGAAAATAAAAGGTACAGCATTCCATTTCAATTGATCAAAGAGCTTTTTCAGTATCATGTATAATGTATATACATTGTAGATATGGTATATACTATTTAACTAATTTTTGTAACTTCATAATTTATGTCTATGTAAAAAAATCAACACGACTCTCAATGTTTCTTCTAATATTTCTATCCAGAATAAGTGGAAAAAGCTTTAGAGGCAATGTTAATAAATATTTCATTGTGTTTTTTGGTAACTATATATACTAAGCAGCTTTGTATTATATTTTTTAATCTGTAAATAAAAGGGTTAAAGTGTACAAAAACCATGTACAAGTCTGTCTCAATTTGGTTTTCGAGGTTCAACCTGTTAAAATTAATTAAATTTTGCAGGTTTTTTCCCTGCATAACACGTTCAGAAATGAAAAAACTCAAGTGTTTTGTACTTCAAGATAATTTATTACTGTAAATGCAATTAGAACATGTAAATGTTAGGACATTCTAGTATCTCATCATCATAAATACTTTTTTAAATTCAAATGCGACCTCAGTGAAATTAAATTTCTAATCCATCGACTGAGAATAAATCACAAGAATCATTTCAAAATCCCTATAACTGATATTTATTTGTTAATTACTTGTTAGAATAAGATTTACTGTTACTTTCACTGTTCATGTATGTTTAAATTTACACCGCTTTTGAGTGTTACATTATAATATATTTATACAAAATTGTTCAGAGTACAAAAAGCAGTTTCAATCAGTTGAATAATATTTGCACAAAAATGTACGATGTAACCGAGAGTAAACTTTATTTATTATTGATGCTGATCAAATTCAATAAAACCTCATCGATAGTAATGATTTGAGAAATTTTTTTTCACACCCCTGTAAACTATGAACTTTTAGATATCGTTCCGATCACAAGTAGGTTGAATTTTTTAACTTTTTAAACACTAATATTCAGTATTTCGTTGAAACATTATATTATATACTCCATTTTAGATCTGTAGCCACTTTTATTTGAAGCAATTTCATTTTACAGCATATTATCTCTGCTAACATTTTAAATATTGTGTAAAATAAATACATTCAAGTAGTATCTCAAACAGTAAACTTATGAAATAGAGACCGAAGTAGCCTTTTAAAAAGTAAGAAATAAAACTGTGTTAATAGAGTGACATTATTAGTTTAGACTCAAGTCGTCTATCTTATTTCAACAACTTTAACGTCTCCATTTCTTTCAATATCTCTTTATCTTTTCAAATCTGACTCTTTGAAGAAAGTAAGGGAGCAAAAATTATGATATATATAGTTTTTTAACTATAAATCAATTTCGTTGGTTATAATTCAAGATAATGGAGATGTCAAAGTAATTAAAACACTTTGTAGAATTGTACAATGAGAACCGGATCTCTGATGAATAAATATAGATAAAATTTCAATATAAAATACTGCATTAAAAATCATTGTTTCTCTGCATTGTTCGAAATTAGTTCAAATAATCGAGGTTCTATTTATTAGCTTGAGATCTTTTACTTTGTTCTAAAATTATAATCTTGCACGCTCGATATTCCAGTTACTTTTATAGAACATAATTCAGTAATATCTTTCGTAAAAGAGAAGGTAAGCTTGACTTCGCCGTACGGTGTCTTCGTCGACTTCCGTTACTCTATAAGAGAAATTTTTATAAGTTTTCGTCCTAGCACAGAATATATCTTATTTTATCCGATGAAATAAATAACTTAAAATATTGTTGCAGATGCACTATCAGTATCAAATTTCAAAGCATCCATAATATTAAATAAGACAAAATTGTTAGCCGTTCAACAAGATTTGTCAGCATTGAAGCAACTACTAGTATGTTATAAAAATTGGTCATTTATATATGTGTAAGTGCATTTTGATCACTGTGTTCGCGTATTTATTACCTTAAATTATTGAAAGCAATGAATTCAACGTAAAAATATTTTAAAAGTACGTACTTAGAATCGGAAACGTAATACCATTTCCCTGGAGGAGGTTCCACAGAAATTGGAGGACACGCAGCTACGCCGTCTTCGCTCGCAGAATCTTCACTCTCAGAATTCTCCTCAGTCTCTTGTGTATCATTGGTTGGCAAGAATGACCATCTGGGATCATCCGATGCCAATGGCATTCGTGACTGCAAAAATAGTATACTTATGAGTTATAAAATACTTCAACTTTTATTTACTAATCACGTAAGTACATTTAAATCTACGGAAAACTGACCTTGTAATAAACATGAATATAATGTACTCTAATACTACTATGGATATGCAAACGTACTTAGATTTAAGAATTACATACAAAAATCAAAATTCAATCTTTGTTAAAATTGAATCTATAATTTATTATACCTAAACTGAACAATTACCTTTACATAAGCAACGTAATGTCCACCATGAATAGTTCCTCTGTGTTCAACGACTCCATAAAGTGAATATAGTTTAGGTTTCTTATGATTCTTACAAATGGGTGATAGATCTAGTGTTGTTTGAAACGAAACTTCTCTCGTCACTTTCCGAAAATCTATTCGTTGTGCTTGGAATCGTTTTAGATGGAGTATCAAGACTGCAGGTACTCGAGATATCAAGTACTGCTTCGTACTCGGTGTACAGATCATTTTACAGTTTTCTTTCACCTGAAACAACAGAATGCCCTCGCTTGGATATGCAGTAAATGCTAAAATAATTCAAACTGCAAACAAGATAGGTATACTTTTCTCTCCCTTGCAGTGCAAGCTTCGCAGCTAACTTTATTGCTGCCCCTCATTAATTCTAAAGCAGTGAACTGATTTAAGCATGACATTATTGAACACTCTCCTTCATTGGTAGGATATCTGATAGGTGATGATTGACAACCAAGACCCATTTTCGAAATTCCAGAAGAAATGCCGTTAACACCATTGCAGATCTCGTTCGAGTATTCCACCGCATTTCTTCTTCCCCAGCTACCGTTTAAAAATAAATTAATCATATACTATAATTTTTATTAACAGGAAATATAAAACGTACCGCTGATTATATGCAGTATTTTCCTGTTCGTTATGAGCAGTTGATTCAAAATAATTATCCATAACGTTTTTACTAGCGTTTTTGAAAGCGAGAGTAGGACTACAGGAACTTTCTTTTGACGTGGCTGAGCTCAAGCTAACAGTTGACGGTCCTTCTGGACTGGTTAAATCCGGATTCACCGTTAACGAAGACGACATAAAATATTCACTCTGCATTCCAGCCTCATTTACCGGGCTGTCGCAGTTATTTAATCTATCTCGAGCTTTCACCTGTGATAAATCTTTTATATTCATGTCCGTTGAATGTGGACTAGAAAAACAAAGTAAATATCATCAAGCTGGAAAGAATTAATCGAAGGGAAGCAATAGTTTTCTTTGCTTTTCTTCTTCGCAATTAACATACCTATGTAACGAATTTGTTTTAAAGAAGTCTTGATTTGGTGGAAGATTGTTTATCGGACTGAATTGTAAAGAATTATCTAATGCCATTTCGTTCATGGTCTCGTCGGCTTTTACTGGATCAGTCGCAGGAGAAGCGGGACTAGCTAAAGTGGACTGTTTCTCTGAGCTGTAACCAGATTCACCGACCTCTGGAGGAAAAGCTTCTGTTTCTGCATTGTCTTCTACATCCGCATCGCTCTCCTCCTCTGTAAAGAGATGTGAAATTCTTAATGAAATCAAATTAGAACTATTGGATGATGAAATATAGTAATAATAAACGATACCTGGTTCAATTATGCTGCCGTTGTTTTCTTCAATGATGTTACTTTTGTTAGATGTATCGTTGCTATAGTCACAAGACTCTTGTCTTTTACTTCTTCGATTTTTCCGGGCTGGTTTCTTTTCCTTCTTTAATTGGGATTTCGTAGATGCGCGAGAGATCATATTTCCCAGCATATCAAAGGCATCTTCGTAACCACTGTTCTTTCTTCTTAAATGAAAAAAGGATTATCATACAATCTGCTAGCAGTAAGTACATCTAATACAAGACAAGAACCAATTTTATTTTAATGAACTCTGTGTTGTTAATTTATGTAATTGATATTCGAAAAAAAGCCTCATACTTTACAATTGGTGGTTGCGGTTTGTCTGCCATTACTGGCAAGCTTAGATCTAGGAAAGGCTCTGTACTCTGCGAAGTATGATGACAGTCGAGACATTCCAAAGTAGAAACCAACACTCCACAAAAAACTGGTTCCGGTCCAAGTAATCTCGCGCTTGCCTGATTCCCGTAGAATTTTACGCAGGACTTCAGACACTTTTCTACTTCTTCCGGGTTCGTTTTTTCATTTAAACCAATTGCTTTCAAAATTACTAACTGATATCTCTAAATGTTATAGGAAACACATTTTTACATTCGCATATAAATTTGTCAGGCAAAGAAAATGTTGAGTTCATTCATTGACGTCAAACAATATTTTTGAAAGAGAAAAAAATCTTACCTTAAGATCCTCGTTTCTAACTAGCTCTAAAAGGTGCCTAAGAAGTTCATGCGAATCATGTTGACCTCCGTCCATACATTGCATTTGTTTCTTTTTAAACGAGTTCAACAATTCTGATGGACAATAACATTTCTGTCCATCAGAATTTTGCATTTCAACTAGTGTTGCATGTAAAACCGAAGTAAAATTGCCCCAACCTTCTAAGGTGCCCTCTATGGGTGTCTGAAACAATTATATAATTATTTACTTGCCGTCTTCATAAATTGATAACATTTAGTTTTTATTCTAACTTACTATATCGAATTCTTCCGAGCTACTGGCAGGCTTATGTTTTCCTCCTGGTAGAACAATTTTTTGTCCAGGAAGACGTAGATCACTGAGAACTTTTACTAAGAATGGCGTCTGTGCTAGACATTGTAAAACTGCATTGAAGAAACAAGTGTTTCCCAAATTCATTAACCCCTATGAGAATACAATTTCATTAGTCTAAAATATATGTTACAGTTAGCATTACAAAACAAACATACCCCAACTTTAGGAAGATTGTGTAAAGCTTTTTCTTCCTGTACATCTGTATTTACAGCGCCCTCCCACAAGTAGGATAACGTTGTATTAGTTTGCGATGAAACTCGTTTCACTATGATAGCCTGTTTTATAAGTTCCACTGTCTCTTGGAGTTTATTCCTACAAATTTTTCGATTATATAATTCAATCCTATGCTAATCAGCCACAAATAAGATATATTCTAACAATGGCAAAGACTGCTTAATTTTTATACATGTGTAATATTATTTTACTTATTATTTCTTTTTATAGGTACCTATGGCTAATAGGAATGTTTGCCTCACAGTCATGACACCAAACGTTCCAAGAACGTGTGTTAACAACAATACAATGACAATCGCTATGAGGTGTCTTAAAATGTTGCAGAGCATGTCCATATTCCTCGACTTTACAACCTCGATGACCACACACTAAACAAATCAATGTTGTAGAACTTCCTGTGGACTCCTGAAATTATTAACATTCTTCAACAAAATGTATTAATGTTGAAACAATATTTTTATTTAATTTACAATAGAAATACCTCCTCATTTATTTGTAAAGAGATGCTTTTATTTTGTTTACAATCTGAGCATTCCATAGTGATACCCACTTTACTAATAAGCCTCTTAATTTTGTTATAGTTTACTGCTTTTGCAATATGTGGACATTTATTACCTATAAAAATGTGGACCTTAAAAATTTTCTTAAAAAATTTTTAGATTGTAATGAACTTGTCAAACAATTCCATATTATAAATTGCATTTCTAGAATCATCCTTACATTATGATATTTGAATAATGCTGAATAGCGTATAATTGAATAGAAATTTGATGTTGTCACCAAGGATTGAAAACAGTTATGAATAACAAAAATGTTCTCATAACTGTTATTGGTTCTGGCTTATATCAGTTTCAGTTTTGGTTCTTCAAAACCGTTATTATATTGATTCTGTAACTGTTATTTTTCAGTTCTAATTCTATTTCACGTAACAAATATATTGTATTTTCTTTGTAGATTAAAAATATGGATTCTGAAATTCTTTGTATTACTGATAAACTACGACTCTAAATATGTGTCAACGAATGCATCCCATAAAATATCCGCATAACTTCGAGATGCCCGATACTTAAGAGGCTATGCAATCCTATGACTCTACCATAAATTGACTGAAAGCAAAATAGCGTTCAAAAGTAAGCATCAATTGCAAGACGTAGGAGTCAAATGCAATCTTGTTTCTTTCTTAAATAATTTTAATAAGTTGTAATTAACATACCCACATTTTTAATTTCTTTCAATTTTATCACTATTCTATGTTTCACCTATACATATACCTATAAATGAATGAAATCCACAGTCTAATTATAAGTTACTACATATATAATACACATACATTTAAAACTTATGCATAAGTGTTTGGGATTGTAGAAGTAAAATGTATATTGCATGTATATTGTGTAAATGTAAAGCCTTAAATTTGAAATATAACCAAAATGCATAGTCGAAATGCATAATCAAAATCCAGAACCGAAAAATAACAGTTATAGAACCGATTTGTCGATTCTTAAAAAGCGAAACCGAAAGCGACATAAATCAGAACCGATATACCTCATAACTATTATGAAACTTTTTCGGTTTTCCATAACTGTTTCAGTCAGAACCGATATCTAACACTTTGAAACAGTTATTTTCGGAATCTTTTCAATCCCTGGTTGTCACATGGTGCAGAGTATTACAGGAAATTATAAAGTAATCATAAAATAACTAAATATACATTTAATTTATTATAAGATATTTGTCTACTTTCATCGTGTTGATAACAGTAATTTTCGTAAGAAAAATTGATTTATTCTTAATAGATGGATTTTCTAACCTGTAATGCTGGACTCATCGCAAGAATCGGTTGATCCTTCGACTAGCTCTTCATTTGCGTCTGGCTGTCTAGTACGTTTTTTACTCATCGTGAATTGTTTTAAATAGCATCGAATTCAATTGTTACAATAGTTTCTTGCTTTTGTTTTTCCACCAAGGGCTTTAGTAAACAAAAGAAAAACGTAAAGTTAGCAAAGCATACTCCCAGAAAATGTGTCGAGTTTACCAAAACGACCCCTTGACGATAATACATACTATAACTTACTGTACTTTTTGTTTCACTACTTTCGCAAATGTTGTGGCGAAATTACAAAATTCTGTAATAAATATATAAAATAAATTAAAGAAAGTAATACATAAAAAAATTACGGTACTATTGCTTATAGAATTGATGCTCCGTAATGTTAGTCACAAACACATTCGCGAATCATCGAAATCGTGAATAAACAGGGCTGACAATGTGCTGCATTCATTGTTACGACGACACCGTAGAACAAAATATGTATGTACAGTAAGTCCGTGCCATGGGTTCATTTCCCTCTACATACATGCCGTGATACCACGAAATCATGAACGCCATATAACCCATACGAGTTTCTACTGGTTTGGATTGCCCTCTGGCTATTAAACTGGGGACTACATTATGCGCATTGAATCGTGAGAATTCCCCTGTGACGTTTTGGTACGAATTTGAAATGCAACCGAACCTTTCCATACACCGTATCATGCACGCACGACGATTTCACGAATTAATGTACANAAATGTTCTCATAACTGTTATTGGTTCTGGCTTATATCAGTTTCAGTTTTGGTTCTTCAAAACCGTTATTATATTGATTCTGTAACTGTTATTTTTCAGTTCTAATTCTATTTCACGTAACAAATATATTGTATTTTCTTTGTAGATTAAAAATATGGATTCTGAAATTCTTTGTATTACTGATAAACTACGACTCTAAATATGTGTCAACGAATGCATCCCATAAAATATCCGCATAACTTCGAGATGCCCGATACTTAAGAGGCTATGCAATCCTATGACTCTACCATAAATTGACTGAAAGCAAAATAGCGTTCAAAAGTAAGCATCAATTGCAAGACGTAGGAGTCAAATGCAATCTTGTTTCTTTCTTAAATAATTTTAATAAGTTGTAATTAACATACCCACATTTTTAATTTCTTTCAATTTTATCACTATTCTATGTTTCACCTATACATATACCTATAAATGAATGAAATCCACAGTCTAATTATAAGTTACTACATATATAATACACATACATTTAAAACTTATGCATAAGTGTTTGGGATTGTAGAAGTAAAATGTATATTGCATGTATATTGTGTAAATGTAAAGCCTTAAATTTGAAATATAACCAAAATGCATAGTCGAAATGCATAATCAAAATCCAGAACCGAAAAATAACAGTTATAGAACCGATTTGTCGATTCTTAAAAAGCGAAACCGAAAGCGACATAAATCAGAACCGATATACCTCATAACTATTATGAAACTTTTTCGGTTTTCCATAACTGTTTCAGTCAGAACCGATATCTAACACTTTGAAACAGTTATTTTCGGAATCTTTTCAATCCCTGGTTGTCACATGGTGCAGAGTATTACAGGAAATTATAAAGTAATCATAAAATAACTAAATATACATTTAATTTATTATAAGATATTTGTCTACTTTCATCGTGTTGATAACAGTAATTTTCGTAAGAAAAATTGATTTATTCTTAATAGATGGATTTTCTAACCTGTAATGCTGGACTCATCGCAAGAATCGGTTGATCCTTCGACTAGCTCTTCATTTGCGTCTGGCTGTCTAGTACGTTTTTTACTCATCGTGAATTGTTTTAAATAGCATCGAATTCAATTGTTACAATAGTTTCTTGCTTTTGTTTTTCCACCAAGGGCTTTAGTAAACAAAAGAAAAACGTAAAGTTAGCAAAGCATACTCCCAGAAAATGTGTCGAGTTTACCAAAACGACCCCTTGACGATAATACATACTATAACTTACTGTACTTTTTGTTTCACTACTTTCGCAAATGTTGTGGCGAAATTACAAAATTCTGTAATAAATATATAAAATAAATTAAAGAAAGTAATACATAAAAAAATTACGGTACTATTGCTTATAGAATTGATGCTCCGTAATGTTAGTCACAAACACATTCGCGAATCATCGAAATCGTGAATAAACAGGGCTGACAATGTGCTGCATTCATTGTTACGACGACACCGTAGAACAAAATATGTATGTACAGTAAGTCCGTGCCATGGGTTCATTTCCCTCTACATACATGCCGTGATACCACGAAATCATGAACGCCATATAACCCATACGAGTTTCTACTGGTTTGGATTGCCCTCTGGCTATTAAACTGGGGACTACATTATGCGCATTGAATCGTGAGAATTCCCCTGTGACGTTTTGGTACGAATTTGAAATGCAACCGAACCTTTCCATACACCGTATCATGCACGCACGACGATTTCACGAATTAATGTACAATATACACAATTTCTGAAATTGTACTTACGATAAGATCACTTACAGAGACGAAAATCTTATAATTCCGCCTGAATTCTCAGAATATGTAAATCGAAACGCTGCATCTCATCGTACGTAATAGTCTTCTCGCCATGTTGTTTTCTTTCACGTATCCTGTGACGTTTCAAAATATCGCACAAAGGTAAGTATCTTGTCCGACGTTACTGACGAAACACGACACAGAGATACAGACAACAAAAATTGGAATTTGTCACGGTACACAATACGATTGCGCGGTAAATTTAAAGTCTCCTAACGAAGTACGTTTCAACATAACCCTATATTATGCATTCTATGTATATCTCTAAAACGTTTCATTGTAAAATAAAGATTGGTTAACAAATAATGTTAATATCAATGGTTTTTCAAGTCGTTGAGCGTCGGTAAATACAAAACTAATACGCAATTCCAACAAGTTTAAAACGAATTCTGTTTTACTTGTCACCCATACGATTTAACGGTTGACATGTTCTAACACGTCGTTCCAAGTATGTTATAAATCGAATAATTTTGAAGGTGAAACGATGTAGAAAAACTTACCCTGCTATTTAAGCCATCAGTATGGTTGTGTGCAATGTGACCATAGTTTGTTGGCCGACTCGTGGCTATCGGTGCGCGTGACGACATTGCTTGGAGAGCGTATTCGATATCGGTGAGGATAATGACGTCGCAGCTCTCGTTCGCTCCATTCACTGGTCGGCCGTCGTCGCGAGTAGTCGTAACGAGTCTGTCCTGCTTTTCTCCGAGCATCGATACCGTTCCAGGATCTAACGGAATATCCCGGAAGTGCGCTTCAGACTCGCCTATCTCCTCCGCCGAAACGGACACATTATCGGGTAACCATTGACTCTTCCGGTTTGCCGTTCCGTTTCCAAAAATCGATATCGATTGATGCGTGCTTCCCGATCGAAACCTAGAATGTATTTGTGAAAGCTACTTGCTCTCAGTCTGTCTTTCTTCTCCTCCTCCTTCGTATTTACATACCGTGGCTGTATGTGTGCGTGTGGATGCGTACGTGCGCGCACATGCATGTGTGATTTGTGTACATAGTGGTGTTTGTTCGGATTCGAGAAGGTCTTTGGACGCGAAAGGATACGATCGATTGCGATTAGTGGAACGAGATATGACTGTCGCCGGAAAGGTGAGTACTTTTTATCGATTCTTTTCACTTGTACCCTGAAACCAATAAAATGAGGTTAAGTACGTGTACGTTTATATAGTTTTGTCGAAAGAAACTGTACTCCCATTTTGTCTAATGTAGAAGATAATTCTACGGGACGAACGTTCTTTCGATACTATTTCTTTTGGTTTGTTCTATGTTTCAAGAACAGTCAAATGAAATGGAACAGTCGATTTTCTAGCACAACTGAAATTGTATCGCACATTTGTCAAGTGTAAAAATGTCTGTTACAATTATACAGAGACCATTCATTCAATTTTACATGTCGAAAATGTTGTACGGATACTAGAGTTCGTAAAAAATTATAGAGACGATATACGAAATCAATTATAATACGATTTTAAAGTTCCATTTGATCGCGTGTATTGCGATAAGATGCATGATCAAACCTTCGGTAATGTAACCGATCAAAAACGTATTTTATTCGTAGAGAAATAACCAACGACATTTTCCTCTTATATCGTTAACATATCGTTTTTGACAAATTTTTCAATCGCGCTACGCGTTACGCGTGCCTCCGGTTCTCATTTCAAAGGGATTATTAGCAATGACTTTTTTGCGTAACAACTTTCACATTCTTCAAAGCGGCGCAAACTTTTACGAATGCTTGAAAACGTTCAATGGTTTTAGATGTTATTTCGATAGCAAGTCATTTACGTTTTTCGACAATAAAATATTCCGAAATTCTGTTCTTCAGAATAAAAACAGCCTGCAAAAAGAAAGGGTAACGTCGTTACTTTCTCTATTTTGTTTGTAGATATAAGATTAGTCTTGCTTGCTGCACACCTGTTGCGCGTAAATGGTTCATCTTTTGTTTCTAACTCCATTCGAAATAATTCAAGTGTTCAACTGACATTAACAACAAAATCTTCGAGACTCGCAATCATCGAGAAAATTTTTCCAGTTGCACCGTGATTCGTGATGAATCGTTTTTTTTTTCATTCGACCGCACCCCCTTGCGACAATGTAGCGCTAAACTTCTTTAGCAAACATTTTGAAAGCCCCTTCTCGATCGGTATAACATTTTCATGAAAACCGAAAATGTTTCTAGATGTGTCTAGGATCAACATATGCATTAGGTCATTGAGCATCTCGAATTTCAGCCATGTTCTCAAGAGAAACCCGAATAACTGTACATAACCGTCGATTCATTTTTCTGGTCGGAATCAAATGACACAGCTGGCGTAGCATATAATGTTTAAACAATTGAATTTCAGCGGCGAGAGAAAGTTGATAATAAACTTTCTTCTAGAAATTTGTCACTTCCGGCTAAGGAATCGCTGTTCTTAAAACTTTCTCCACTAAAGCCGACTGTTCTTCCCTGAGAAGTATGTCGTTTACACGTTTACCGAACCCTTCTTGTATCGATACTTGTTTCTAATAAACATATTCAATTCTTCGAGTAAATGAAAGAAAGAAATTTAGAATGCATAGAATACGTCGATTTCTAATCTCAATATACTTAGCCATATTGCACAAATATTTTATACGTTTACCTTGAATTCTGTAAAATGTCCTTTAATGTATCGCGCCTTGTATAAGAATAATCTCCAACGTTATATTTTAAAGAAATAAGACAGCGATTATAGTATTGTTTTATGTAATATTCAAATAACTTATACCTGCGTTGACGAACGAATACGAAAGGTGTTATAACAATCAGTGTCGATAAGGTCGGGTAGTCTAGTAGTTCCCTAGTGTATCTAGTATGCTTGCTCCTGTGTCATCTTTAGTTTATAACTGAGTTAGTTAGTTTTATTTACCAGTCATTAGGTTACTTTATCAACCTCTTACAATTAGCTACTGTACACCACTATGTATAGCGGCTATCTCGCGTATATTAGCTTTTTGAATGGTACACTACTATAGTGGCTCACTCTGTCGTGAATACTGCAAAATTACGATCATGCCGCGTCACAGATTTCGAAACTGTGTAAGAACGTTCGAAAATACATAATCGCGAAGCGTTATTTAACAATAATTACATGGTCTAAGAAAGAAATGAAGATCGGCGAAAACTCCGCGACCGATTCCGAGAGTGAAACACGAACGAGTCGGTCATTCAATCCACCGCTATTAATGTCGGGTATTCAACATTTTAGTCGTAGCTAAGAGATTAAGAGCGAATAAGCATTAGTTAATAAGGGCGACGATAATTATGACATGCCTATAACTTTCTTTAATTTGCAGAGATTCGTGGACTGCACGGCTTTGGAAATCGGAAGCATCGCGGACGCAGAAGATTCTTCTTATGATAGCGACTATGATGTTGAAGACCTAATTCCATCCGCTAAGGCAGCACATTCAAAACTAGATCTACAGGTGTCGTAAAAAAAAGGATTATGCAAAATTACCGAAACAAGAGAAAAAAATATTCAACTTGTAACTTACAGTGATATGTGTAATTTGATACAGTGATATATAACATATATCAGTGATATATACATAATTTGATACAGTGATATATAATTTGACAGTGATATGTGTAATGTTTAATTTGATTTTTCATCGTAGGTATCTGCATCAAGTCATTCCGATTTATCGAGGACTTCTTCTGATACTCTGGCAGCAGAATATGCTGAATATGTAACAACAGGGAGTCCACCTAATCGAAGTCCTGGTATGACATTAATATAATTTTTGTACTGATGTAATCTGAAACTACTGAATATTTTTTGTAGGATATACAGCCAGGGTTGAGTTTGCACTGAAACTTGGATACACAGAGCGTCTGGTGCAAATAGCAATGGAAAAATTAGGTCCAGATCCGGAGCAGAATGATTTATTAGCCGAGTTGATAAAACTTGGGGCCAGCAGTTTACAAAAATCAGATGATATGTTGGAGGAATCTGGTATTGTTTCAGAAATGCATTTGACCAATGAGGATACTGTCACCAGGTGTACGAGCAGACTTAGACCAATCGTGATAGATGGAAGCAATGTGGCGATGAGTCATGGAAACAAAGAAGTATTTTCGTGCAGAGGAATTAAGATTTGCGTGGATTGGTTCAAAGCAAGGGGACACAGAGAAATTACCGTGTTTGTACCGAAATGGAGAAAAGAGGCCTCTAAAATTGATAATCCAATCGTCGATCAAGAAATTCTCGGGGAGTTAGAACGGGATCGTTTGCTCGTTTTCACGCCTTCTAGGTTTGTGTATACCACGGTTTGCGAATCATTTTCTAATAAAAGCAAAACATTCTTGATGTAGAGCTTTTACCTGTTCATTTCAGATTAGTTGGTGGCAAGAGAATGGTTTGTTACGATGATCGTTATATTTTGAAGTTGGCGGCGGAGACTGATGGCATTGTCGTAAGCAACGATAATTATAGAGATCTAGCGCAAGAGAATCTTGAATTTCGGAAGGTCGTAGAAGAACGAATCTTAATGTACACGTTTGTAAACGATCGTTTCATGCCTCCAGATGATCCGTTAGGTAGAAACGGACCTACTTTAGAGAACTTTTTGAGAACCTTCCCAAAAAAGCCAGATCCAGCTCCACTTTGTCCATATGCGAAAGTACGTGAAAATGATAACATATTTAAGTTAGATACAAATAGTGTTAAATCGAAAAAAATGAAACGTTTCTTACAGAAGTGCACGTACGGAAATAAATGCAAATTTCAACATCCGGAAAGGGGTCCTCATCCACAGAAATCGGTCACAGAAAAATTAGTAGAACATGTGCAAAAACATCTTCAAGCGAGAAATTCCATTTCGAATCTTTCTTCGCCGAGTAGTAGATCTCTTAAAACGCATCAACCACTTTGTAAAAGTAGATCGACGGTGACTAATAGTATCCAGCCGATAGTATCAGTTACAAAGAGTAAATCCGCAGAAAATGTTGCTGTTGAACAACCGGTAATTTCTGGCTCGCACGGAACTCAAGCATTACCGACAAATTCACAAAGTAACAGTCTCTTGCGATCATCTTTATTTATATTTATTAAACCCATCGTATTTTTATTGCAACCATAATCTAATATATCATTAATGATTGCTAGGTTTAACTGGAATGTTTAACCGAGAAAGTAAATTGAACGTAGAACATCCTAATTTACACAGGCAACTTGAAAGACAGTTAACTTTGAATCCAGTCTATGATCCTAGACTTTGTCAGCTGATGCAGCGTCAACAAGCTTCTCAGACTGGTACACCATTGCAATCAACAGCAGCGGCTTCTTCCAGATGGCAACACAGACCTCTAACTAAACATTACAGTAATGAATTACCTTACAGAGTCGGCGCAAAGTAAGCTTTTGCTATTTCTTCGCTTGTTTCGATACTTGAAAGAAGGTTGAATTTTTCTTATATTTTCTTATGTCGCAACAGTCGTGATCTCTTAGATGCAAGGCAGTGTCACGAACATGCAACACGTATTGCTTCGGCGCCAGATTCCTATCAAGCTCTGTCATACAACAATTCTAATACAGCTTCGAGATTGGATTCAGAATTGGGATCGAAAACGGAATTAACATCGGATCCAGAGGATTACTTGGGGGTGGAATCCTGGTTGATTCCATGGGGTTGGGATGAGGATGCAAGAAGAGAACTGGTGAAAGAAAGAATAAAAGCAGCATTGTTCTTGCGAAATATGTTCCCTGATGGAGACATAAAAGTAGCTATGCTGTTGCATCCTTTTGAAACCTGTCCGATGGAACTCTATATCATTCTGACGAAGTGGTGTAGGCGTCGGCGTCGCAATCAGTAGGACTTGCAATATTTGTTTACTTATTCAATTTATGTTATTACACAAATACATCGAAACAAGTAATAATTCTATAAAAGAAACAAAGTGAAAATAGAAAAGATTTTTTTATTACATATTAGAACAAGTTTATTATAAAAATAAATCGAGATTTCCCTTACAGCGCCTAACAAAAGTGTTCTACATGCAAACTAATGTACAAATTGGAGTTTTTGACATATTAAGTAAAATTTTTTATCATAGAAGAACTAACTTTCTACAATTCTAGCATTAGCTGTTCTCACCTAAAAATGTGTCTACAGATCGTTTACGACAGAGTGGCAATTAAATCTGATGAAAATAATCAATTTCTTTATGAGAGTGTAAAGCAGAAGGTACGATTTTTTTTCTTTTTCAACAGAAGATGAAAGCTATAATCGAAAATAACAAAATCAATTCTTTCTTTTCCCTGCGAATTTACTATTAACTGTTTATGTTTTAATATGAGGATAAGGTGTATTTATTTTTAATAAAGTGCCCGTGTTTTCTATTATAATTTACTGTTCGTGAGGATTTTATTTATAACACCTCTCTAATAGCAAATCAAAAGTAGATTGTTAAAGATCCATTTATATCAAGAAAGTTAATTATACCTTAAGGCTACACAGTTAACAGCTACTTACTTTCAACTGTTAACTGATATAAAAAATAAATTAAAAAATTCTGAATAGTAATAGTACGATTATGTTATTAATAATGCCTAACCCACCTAATACCACAATGTATATTTAACATAGGAAAATGAATCATAAAGTTCATACTTTTCGTGTCTAAGCAGGCTGTACCCAACCACCGAACGCTTTCTCCAATTCTTGTGCCACAGCCAAACATAAATGATCGTTATACGGAGCTGCTACAACCTAAATATTAATTTTAATAATATTATACTTACAGCTTTTACTTGTAGTGTTTTGCAATTAAAGAAGGTAACTGTCTTACCTGTACTCCAACAGGTAATCCATCTTTGTCTAATCCAAGTGGTACTTGACAGGTTGGTAGCCTAAGAATGTTGAAGAGACACCAATATCCGAAATTAAAAGGTCTCAAATAAGCGGTGTAATGATAGCTGGCTGGGAATGGTGAAGATGGGTAAAGCAAAACTCCATCATCTCCTAACTTGTCCTAAAATAAAACATGGAAGTCATCGTTTACATACGTTTTTAAATACGCCAACACATTCAAACTGTGAATACTTACCAACAAATATTTCTTCATGTTTGCAGTTACATTCTTTGCCCATACAGGATTATCTTTTGGTAATAAATCTTCATCTATCAACTTCATTATTGCTGCTAGTGTCAATTCACACTTTCCAGTTAGTAATTTATAGATCTCTGAAACTGCGCGTGCACGGTACTAAAAGTAAGAAATAATTTTTAAATATAGTGCGTAAGTGCATATCTGCTATTATATTTATCTAAGTTACCTGTCCATTCGTTATACTCAGTTTGAAATCTAAGTTTTCTTCAGACATCCAAAATCTCCATAAGCGATAACTGTATTCAGAGCCGGGTATTCTAATCTGTGATTGATTAAGGATTAGATTAATACAATATAATTAATAAATAACTGTAAAAGTTTATTTACTTAATGATACGATATTCACTTTTGTCGCAGAGCCAGTAACTTCCTTCAAGTGATATACAGCTTTCAGAAGGGCAGTCTTCATTTCAGAATCTACTTTACTTGCTCTTAAATCGCCTGAACTTTCTTGATAAAAAAATTTCAGCTTTTTTATATCTACTGATGTATCAAGCTGTAAAAGAGATACTTTCTCCCCAATTAAAACTTTTAGAAAAGGTGCTAAATCTTCTGCCTTTTTACAAATTGGGCCTGCTTCTGCCATTGAATTGGAATAATCCACTTTTCTGAGTCCAACACCTTTTAATGGCGTTAAACCTGCAAATATTCATATAAGTACTCCATATAGATTTATAAAGAAAGTAAAATATTGATACCTTCAGTTGGTTTGTGTCCAAAAACTCCATTAAAAAATGCTGGCATTCTAGTGGAACCACCGATGTCACTACCAATAGATATTGCAGTTCCACAAGCAGCAGTTATTGCTGCTTCTCCACCACTACTTCCTCCAACATTCCTGGTAGTATTGTAGGGATTGCAAGTTTGTCCATACAAATTATTTCTCGATTCTGTCCATAAATTCAGTTCAGGAATATTTGTTTTTGCTATCAAAATTCCACCTGCCTTTTTCAATAAATTTACCACTGTTGCATCTTCGGGAGAGCGATAATCACGTCTGTTTGTTAAACCCATTGTATGAAGCATACCTGGATTATATGAAGCATACTACAATTATCACGAATTATACTAAAAATAATCAATATAATTCAGTGAAGATATTCTTGTAATATTGGATACATAACAATCTAAAGTTACCTTTGGCTTCATTGCTTTCTTTTGTAGTAAAGGGAACCCCTAAGAAAGGTTTTTCTTTCTTTATTTCATCAACATTCTGAGATTTCTCTAACAGTTTGTCTACTTCCTTAGCTTCTTCTAAAGCATCAGAAAATCTGTCTTCCACAACAGCATTTATTAATCCGTTTACTTCTTTTGCTCGTTCTATAAATGCTGTGACAACTTCCAAGGATGTCACCTTTTTCGTCCTAAATTAATACCACGTAAACTATAGTTTCATTAACTTTTAACTGGTTAGATTAAAATACTGAGTTATATTAGATACCTGATTTTATCAGCTAATTCTGTTGCACTTAGTAACAATAAATCATTTTTTACTGGTGGCACTTTCTGTGCTTTACTATCATAGTAAAACCCAAAAAGTATGTCCACTAAAAAATCGAATATCATATGCACCTGAACAAATAGCCATTTCAAACAATCCAGCGATACCTTTCTCGACATTTCCAATACATCTTTACACGTATCGTCATCTTCCTGTAAAATAAAGTGCAGTTAAATCATTTTGTTAATAAGAAAGCTAAAAGTAGTTTCACCGAAAATCTTCTTACATACATTTCTATTTCTGTGTACATACACAAATGATAGATATATTAAATTACCTTATTTTTAACCGAAGTACACATATTAATAAGTTCTTTTTAAATACTTTCGAATATTAACTCAGCAACTTTCATGTAAATGTCATATTTTAATTTATGCAGATTTCTTGTGAAGAAGTCAGAAGTGCGTTCTGAGTGCAATAAATCGAAACGAACGTAACACAAGCCAATCACAGTCTAATAAATGTGAAATTCAGCCGGAACTTAAATTGTAATGTACACTGTAATGATTGTAATATGTACATTCGTGTTCTCAATCTTGAACTTTGATTGCAAAGTAGTCTTATAGAATGAAAACTTCAACATTTGCGAGAACAAACTTCCAGTGCGCATATGTACGGTAATAGTGTTTCTTGAATATAGCTGCACTTTTTTACAATACATATTCGGACCACATGCATATCATTATACGTGCTTTCAATATTAATTGAATATGTGATACGAGATAAAAATAATTTTTTAAGTAAAATTAAGATCTTGAAGTTGTATATGTACTTTTCAAGCGAAGCCCCTGCAATATATGTATATGTACATATTATTATGTTCGAAATATTATCGCCTTTTAAATTTCTTATTGTATCGATATATTGTATTGCAAAGTTCCGGCGTCAATTTGCCAGATCACTACTTCCCTCATGCCTATTGTAAATCTGCGGTTTTGAAAAAAAGCGGGAGTTTCGCTTCTGTGATATGATTGTTTTCATATTATTTATATCCTTGTATCGTTATATCCTTTTAAGGTTTTTAATCAAACCTTAAAACAATTGTCGCGATATTAAAGGATTTATTATAAAATTTATGTTACAACCGTACAGAAGAAATCGTGCGTATGAGTTGGTCCTATGAATAATATATTTCAGAATATCTTTATATCCACGCATTCAACTTTGAGGTTAGTAACACTGTAAAAATAAATTTTCATTTCGTCGAACAATAATTCAGAATTTTTCTAGGAAAATAAGCTGTAATCAGCTTGTTGGCGTTAGAAGTTAGTAGTACAATTAAACTTTCATCAATTTTCGAGCATTAAGATGAGAAAAATTAGAAAAAACAAAGTGGTATGTAACATGAGTTTTAATTACATTATTTGTTATGTGTATTAACATGCATTCAATTTATTTTAAGAATCAAGCGATCGAATTTCTTCAATCAAATAGAAAGAATAGAGAGAAATGGAAGAAAACGGAGATGGATGAAGAAGAGAAGTTAAGGAAAATTAATTCACACTGTAAAGTCATACATCAATATAACACACGGGAAAGACAACATACCATAGGTTTTTCAAAGTATACAATCCTTTTAGAACTAAAATCTCATGTTCTCAAACGAGATTGGAGTAAAGTACGTAATTTATTGTTATTGTTACTTCATTTCAACACTGATATAGAACCTTTGATATGGCGATACATTTTCATACTTGCACTATATGGTAATATCGATAACTTATTCAATATCTCAGAATTATTCAAAACATGTATTGGTAATTTAGATTCAGATAGAAATTTAGTATTGAAACATTTGTTATTATTATCATATAATAAATGATCAATTATAAGTATTGTACAACAGGTAAACTGTAAAGAAAACTGATTTTGAAGGTAATAAAATAAAGAAACAATCGTAACTACCTTTCTAACCTCATTATATGAAACTATAATTTCTGATGTGGCCGACTGTAATTTTATCTTGAAAATTTGGATACAATTCCCGCCAGATTGAAAATGCTGACATTTATTTAATGTGAAAACTCAATTGCCCCACTTCTCAAGGTTCGACTTGTACCTTGCAAGGCGGACGCGTGGTGACGCTCTCGTCCGTCGTTCCGCGAAGAGACAATGTTTCGTTCTCTTTCTTGTTACGTCCGTCGAGCTGTGAATTCGTGAAAGGAAACTGTCTAGTTTTGCTAGTCTCTACCTCCTGTGGGTGAGTTGAGACACGCATTGGCTATCTGTCGGTGGAACTATGTACTATAATTTCACATTATATTTCGCTATATTGCTGCTCGTCTTGTCTTTTCTTATCCGCTCAAAGACCTACTTTTGTAACAAATATCTGAAGAAGTATTTATATGATATTTTCGATATATAATTGTTAAATATTTAATGTTGAAAGCGCACGAATGTTTAACGACTTGTTTTCAAACAGCTGACATTGAACTATAAAATGCAAAGCCAATATGAGAATTTAAGAAGCACATCGTGATATTTACATTTACTGCATTTCTCGTCGGTTCGTCAAAATGGATTTTGGCACTTTGTTGAGTGTGGCACAGAAAAATGAGAATGCCAAGCAGGTAATTATATTGGCACACTTATATCTTTCTTATTTTAAATTTTCTACGTGCTTTAGTAATCTAACATTTTGATTGACCCCATTTTTATATTTTTTTTAGCCGATCGCTTGTTATCAGACGAAATTTGCACCTCCGAAAAAGCCAACTAAACAGGCTAAGGCTCTTTCAGACAATATCAAAAAATTTCTAGCTCGTAAAGAAGAAGAAGAGAAACGAAAAGTTGAAGAGGAGAAAAAAAAGAAAGAGGTACTGTATAAATCAGGTTTATTATACTTTGTATAAACTTATTTTGTATCCAAATGTAGAATTTCGTTATTCTTATAATTACTTTTTAAATACAGAATTTATTAGCATTACGGGATCATAAAGCTCAAAGTCGGATAAATAAACATTTGAAAGTATGTAAGGCAGCAAACAAGTCTGCAATAGCAGATGCAATTGACAATNATATAACACACGGGAAAGACAACATACCATAGGTTTTTCAAAGTATACAATCCTTTTAGAACTAAAATCTCATGTTCTCAAACGAGATTGGAGTAAAGTACGTAATTTATTGTTATTGTTACTTCATTTCAACACTGATATAGAACCTTTGATATGGCGATACATTTTCATACTTGCACTATATGGTAATATCGATAACTTATTCAATATCTCAGAATTATTCAAAACATGTATTGGTAATTTAGATTCAGATAGAAATTTAGTATTGAAACATTTGTTATTATTATCATATAATAAATGATCAATTATAAGTATTGTACAACAGGTAAACTGTAAAGAAAACTGATTTTGAAGGTAATAAAATAAAGAAACAATCGTAACTACCTTTCTAACCTCATTATATGAAACTATAATTTCTGATGTGGCCGACTGTAATTTTATCTTGAAAATTTGGATACAATTCCCGCCAGATTGAAAATGCTGACATTTATTTAATGTGAAAACTCAATTGCCCCACTTCTCAAGGTTCGACTTGTACCTTGCAAGGCGGACGCGTGGTGACGCTCTCGTCCGTCGTTCCGCGAAGAGACAATGTTTCGTTCTCTTTCTTGTTACGTCCGTCGAGCTGTGAATTCGTGAAAGGAAACTGTCTAGTTTTGCTAGTCTCTACCTCCTGTGGGTGAGTTGAGACACGCATTGGCTATCTGTCGGTGGAACTATGTACTATAATTTCACATTATATTTCGCTATATTGCTGCTCGTCTTGTCTTTTCTTATCCGCTCAAAGACCTACTTTTGTAACAAATATCTGAAGAAGTATTTATATGATATTTTCGATATATAATTGTTAAATATTTAATGTTGAAAGCGCACGAATGTTTAACGACTTGTTTTCAAACAGCTGACATTGAACTATAAAATGCAAAGCCAATATGAGAATTTAAGAAGCACATCGTGATATTTACATTTACTGCATTTCTCGTCGGTTCGTCAAAATGGATTTTGGCACTTTGTTGAGTGTGGCACAGAAAAATGAGAATGCCAAGCAGGTAATTATATTGGCACACTTATATCTTTCTTATTTTAAATTTTCTACGTGCTTTAGTAATCTAACATTTTGATTGACCCCATTTTTATATTTTTTTTAGCCGATCGCTTGTTATCAGACGAAATTTGCACCTCCGAAAAAGCCAACTAAACAGGCTAAGGCTCTTTCAGACAATATCAAAAAATTTCTAGCTCGTAAAGAAGAAGAAGAGAAACGAAAAGTTGAAGAGGAGAAAAAAAAGAAAGAGGTACTGTATAAATCAGGTTTATTATACTTTGTATAAACTTATTTTGTATCCAAATGTAGAATTTCGTTATTCTTATAATTACTTTTTAAATACAGAATTTATTAGCATTACGGGATCATAAAGCTCAAAGTCGGATAAATAAACATTTGAAAGTATGTAAGGCAGCAAACAAGTCTGCAATAGCAGATGCAATTGACAATGAGAATACAGCTGTTACAATGGCAGGTATGACTCACCATGTATATTTTTTTACATTTTTAACATGTTGATGGAAAAATAAAAGTTCTATCGTTTGTTCCATTTAGTAATAATAAAGATTAATTTATGATTTTTAATATTAATGTGTCAAAAATTTCAAATAATATAGAATAAAACTTTTGTAAGCAGTATAAGTTTTAATAATAAAATTAAAATTTATCTTCATAAATATAAAAACCACTTTTAATATGTATATAGTATTTTTGTATACTATTAAGAATTTATCATGTCGGTGCTATTTATTTCTACATGAAAACCTTTCTAAGGTTTGTGAAATACAAGGTTCTATGCTCATTGTTTCATGGATTAGCAAAGATGTCTATTATCTTTCATTATTATACTGCATATAACATACTTGCTGTTCACAAATTCGTTAATTAATAAATATATTGATGGTGAACACAGTCTTAATTGCCTAAGAAAATTAGTAGAGTTGTATATGTGGTTAATGATATTCTCATTAGTGAGTATTTAAAAGTATCAGTCTCTATCCATAATGGGCAGTGTTTTTGCCCACAGGTAATTGAGTATGAATATGTACAGTCAACACAATGCCTTCTTGCTTTTCCATGGTCCGACAGAGTAGTGGGATTTTATGGATTTACATGGCAGAGGATTCCAAAAATTTAAGGTCAGAGTAAATCTAGTTCTAGAGTCTGGAGGATAAACTCTAGATTGATTATTATCATTGAATAAATATATTATTTCGAGTACAGTGCACATAGTAAGAGGTTTATTCAGGAATAAAAGTCTCTACCTTTAACTAGATTAAGTAGGAACAACTATCCATACATCAGCATTCTTTCTGTAAGCAAAATAAAATTTTTTTTTCTCAACTAATAATGCTGTTCAAAAAGTTTTTACTTTCTTTCTGTCTCTAACGTTTATTGAATATTAGAAATTCATTGAACAGTGTTATGATTAATTGAGTTTCTTAATGTAACTAACGTTCCATTGTGTTCCGAACCGTTGCAGTACATGGTCTAAGCTAGCGAGTCCTTTCGGAAATTGAGTCTGTGAAGAAAGATAGGAAGAACATGGTCAAAAGAATAAACAGCATGAAAAGTTTAGCCACTAATTCCCTTCTTGAAGTATAATAAGCAGAATAACTTTCGAATACAAGTTCTCTATTACAGGGCTACGAAGGTATCATGGAAATTGTATTCCTTTTGAATGATGAGGGGACAGAATGTCAAGAAAAAGTCTCGCGAAAATCGGCAGGACATGATGATGATGGTGATGATGATGATGATGGGAAAGGTAACATGCTTTCCTCAAGGAAAGAATGCTGGTGTTCGGGTAGCTAATGTTGAAATAAAAGGCGTTAATTCTCTACACTATTAATTATACTCAAATATGTATGTTCATGGATTATATATCTATAAAGATAATTGTAGCAACAAGTTTACAGGAGCAAGAATTATTACTGCTGCTGATATCTATTTGAATATAATTAATAATATAGGATATATAACTCTTCTTATTTTTACACTCTTATTGTATGAATACTTTAGTTGTTGTGGAAGTAATAATTCCAAAATTGAAAGTAATATATTTAAAAGGGATTTCACAGGTACAGGGCTTTAACATTAATATGTGGTAATAAACTCCAACAGATAGGCAGGTTTAATATCACGCAACGATTTACAAGAAAATATTCTGTTCTAGTTTTTAAGTTTGTAAAATACGACCTTCCTTTTTCACATTTTCTTTAAAAACCACCCTTTATAATTAAACTTTCTTATGCATAAAAAGTGGTTGATAAATGTAACAAAAATTCAGCTTATACAGGCTTACAAAAGAGTCTAAATTTCTGAAAACGAAAGCAAGAACACATTTGAAATTATTTATTATTCTATGTAAGGTCTTAAATCAATTGTCTAGGTCCTTCTCAACCGGATGAAGATGACTATGGTTATGTGTCACAAGAAGCCTCTGCATTTTATAACCAATTAATGAACAAGTACAATAATGCACCTCCCCAGAAACCTGTGTTCAGTGAAAGTCGGAAAAGAACCATAAAAGATATAGCCTCTACGAAGGTGAGAGTAGTGTAGGCTATTCTGAATTCTTTTGATGGTGCAACATAACAGAAGTAATGATGAAAATATCTTTGATTTCAGGACAGAGTGAAGCAAGCTTTGAAACAGCAAGAGGTAGAAGAAGCATTAGGACACCGACGCAAACGAAAATCTGCGAAGGACACTGAAGCGGAAATCGAAGAGAAAATAGAAAAAATAGAGAAGTTTATGCAACCACTTGAAGAGAGGAAGGAGAAAGATGAGAAGAAAGAGAAAGATGAGAAGTCAAAGCCCAAGAAGAAACTGATGCCTCCACCAATGGATTTCAATGAATTGCTTAAAATTGCAGAGAAGAAACAGCATGAGCCAATCGTGATCGAGGTGAAAGCGAAAGTCGAAGAGCCAGAAAGATTAATGACCAAGAAGCAAATGAAAGAGTACGCAAAGGAGAAGGAGTGGCGAGAGAAAAAGGAACAACGAAGCAAACAGGGCTATTCGAGCAGCAAAGAGGGAACCACTGCCACAACTAATAAATTGAGCAAACCACAAGAGTCTAATAGCGCTGCGAAACAATCGAATAAAATACCTAAGGTAACTGAATCACCGATTTTAACTAAAGCACTCACGAAAACATCGAATGTGATACAACCTTCAGTTTCGAAGAAGACAGTCGAAAACAAGTCTAGCTTGAATAAAGCGAGTAACTCAAAGGTATCAGAGAGAGACATGCTTTTGGAAGAGCGAAAGAAACTGGAGTCCGAGAAGAGGAAATTGGAAGAAATGCGACAAGCCATCGAGGAGGAGAAAAAGAAATTGAGGTTGAGCAAGAGTAAGACCGAGGAGATGAAGAATGTAAAACCGGACAAGCCGACTACGAAGCCGAAAGTTCCAGAAAAACAATTGCCGTCGACAAGTATGAAGCAGAGAGAAACAGCCGTAAACGTGGTAAAATCTCGTATAACTCAAGTAGCCAATGAAAAAATCAAACAGTTTCCTCCAGCAGACTTAAGACCGGTTAGACCTAAACAAAATATTCCTTCAAGAGATCATAAGAAAGGATTAGCCGCACACAAACGTGAGAGTGTATTTGTTAAATGTGTTGCTATTTAATATTACGGATTCTTAATTCTTACTATACCTTACAGGACGTATACAAGATGATGAGGAAGAGGAATACGATTCAGAATTGGATGATTTCATAGACGACGAAGTAGAAGAGCATACGGAGGATTACAGTAAATATATAAGTCAAATATTTGGGTATGATAAAAGTAAATACAGGAACGTAAACTACGAAGAAGAGGACGGAGCTATGGAAAGTAGTTTTGCACAACAACTTAAAGAGGAATATGTATCTACTAAAATAGGTAATGATACTGATTCATTGGTTTGTAAACTTTATATTGTTTTCGCCTGCCTAATCTAATAACTAATAACATTTGCTTTCAGGCATTATGGAGGATTTAGAGGACATGCGTATGGAAGCTTTAGAGAAAAAGCGGAAAGCTATGTTAAAAAAGAAAGTCAAACACTGACTACTATGTTCTTTATAAATTTTTATGAAATTTTATTTAATAAATTACACTATACTTATACGATGTTCGAAATCGCGTTAGTACTTCTATTCTCGCAATTGATTCTTACGTTTAAAGAGATCTTGTTGCATGGTATCTCAAACTGGTCCATTACTATCCTCTGTTTTGTCCTTTTTAACAAAAGATTTAGCTCACATTCTTCTGCGAATGAATGATTTTTATTTCCAGTTGTTTTGCTCCTAAGATTATCTTGAATTATTCTTTAAAAAAAAACTAAATCGAAGCTAAGAATAACAAAATTTTGGTGGAGACGCTAAAAATTTTATACCTCTTTATGCAATTTATTTACAAAAGAAGGAACAATTGTTTAAATTAAGATATTGAATAGATTTATTTCTTGCTTATCTTTTACACCTTATGTGATAAAATTTATGAATATAGTAATTATAGAAAAAATATTTTCAGTTCAAAATATATATATATATTACATTTTTATTGTATACAGGAAAGGAATGCTCTGATAAAGTGAAGTAAGCGTTAACCAGATCTATTTCCTTCCTTTTCGCATTATTTTATATTTAGAGAAGACATCACACGTATGCGTGTACACAGGACATACCTACTATATATCATTTATATTAAAATAAATATATTTCAATATTATGCTTAGGAATAATATTTGCATTGAGGTAGACATAATTAGCCAGATATTCGCGAGAACGCTCTCCTCAAACTGTTTTCCCTTTCAATGAATTCTGTTATTCGTTGTATATTGCCCTTATTTTTATTAAACAAATTCCAGTCAGTTAACATACTAACAATGACTTCAAAATTTTCAACAATTTTATCAATTTTTTGTAACATTGTTTTCTCAAAATTAAGTCCCTTACAACTTAAGTTACTATTTGCTCCTAAATAGTCAAAATCCAATATTCATTCATTATGCAAAATTTTAACAGTTAATATGCATTAACAACAATAATTTTGTAATATTTAAAAGATTATGAACATCTAAGTTCTTTAATACCCGCAACCAATTATCTTGAAGATAAAATATTTAATTTTAAACATTAAAAATATTTCAAGTATCCAATAAGGGTACTTAATCACAACCATTCATTCTCAATCAATTTCAAGAGTGTACACTTTACGAGTTCACTTGAGATAATTTGCAACACGAAAACATTAAAGACATGAAGGTAGCATGATGCTTCACACATACAGCATAATTATTAGTTTCCTTGAATATACTTCAATAATTACAGTATCACATCGTATTACAGTTACGAATAAAAATATACATTTCAGTTAAGTGATACAAAAATCTTACAAATATATATATG